GAAATACTCCTGAAGTACCAACATTGCTGGATTTGCGGTAATACTGTATGTACAGTGCACCGCGCTGAGCCAATCACAGCGAGCGATGTATTCTACCAATGAATACAAAGCCTGCTGTGATTAGGTGCCCATACACTGCACGATTATTGTACGATAATCGAAAAGTGTATGGAAGGCGTGCGACCGTTTCTACTGTACGGTCGCACATCTTCTGTCGAACCAGCAGGCTGGAAAACCTGCCGAGAATCTTATGATTCTCGGCGAGTTAGTGGCCTGCTTGTTGGACAACTGCCAAACGGGCGGGTGTGCGCAAGCGCACACTGCCCGTTTGCAGTCATCGGAAGCCCGCCCCTCAAGGGGGCGGGCTTGTGATGATCGCAAGTACGATCTGCCTGTCCAAGATGGGCAGATCTTACGTTTTTTAAATTGCTTTACAACCCTCGCAAGACAAAAGTCTTGCGAGGGTTGTAAGTGTATGGCCACCTATTGGCTCAGCGCGGTATACTGTATGTAGCCAAAAGTCGGATTATTTTTTTTTTCCGTTATTTTTTTTAATTTTTAAAATTCCCGCCGGTTCCGCCCCCCTGCGACGCGGACGCTCGCAAGGGACGGAAGACGGAGGACACAGCGGGGATCGTGGACAAGTGAAGAGATCCAAGCCTTACATCACCAAGTGCAATGCAAAGCGTCGGATGCAGTGGTGTAAAGCACGCCACTACTGGACTCTAGAGAAGTGGAGACATGTTCTCCGAAGTGATGAATCACGCTTCTCTGTCTGGCAATCCGATGGACGTGTCTGGGTTTGGTGGTTGCCAGGAGAACAGGACTTGCCTGACTGCATTATGCCAAGTGTAAAGTTTGGTGGAGGGGGGATTATGGTGCAGGGTTGTTTTTCAGGGGTTAGGCTTGGCCCCTTAGTACCAGTGAAGGGAACTCTTAAGGCATCAGCATACCAAGACATTTTGAACAATTTCATGCTCCCAACTTTGTTGGAACAGTTTGGGGATGGCCCCTTCCTGTTCCAACATGACTGCGCACCAGTTCACAAAGCAAGGTCCATAAAGACATGGATGAGCGAGTTTGGGGTGGAGGAACTTGACTGGCCTGCACAGAGTCCTGGCCTCCACCCAATAGAACACCTTTGGGATGAATTAGAGCACAGACTGCGAGCCAGGCCTTCTCGTCCAACATCAGTACCTGACCTCACAAATGTGCTTCTGGAAGAATGGTCAAACATTCCCATAGACAACACTCCTAGACCTTGTGGACAGCCTTCCCAAAAGAGTTGAAGCTGTTATAGCTGCAAAGGGTGGGTCGGCCATGGGAACCCATTCCATGAAGCTCTCTACGCACTGTTGTTGTGCCAATCTGAAGGCCACACGAAGTTTGGAGGTCTAGGTATTGACTCTGCAGACAGTCGGCGACTTCTGCGCACTTGCATGCGCTGACCCCGCTCTGTCATTTTACGTGGCCTACCACTTCGTGGCTGAGTTGCAGTTGTTCCCAGTCGCTTCCACTTTGTTAGAATACCACTAACAGGTGACCGCAGAACGTGTAGTAGCAAGGAAATTTCACGGAACACCTAAATCCAATGATTTGGAGGGTGTCCCAATACTTTTGGTAATATAGCATATAATATATACACACACACACACACACAATTTGTAACAGTACTAAGATGAACCTCTCTCTTAACAGTGCTAATACATTTTGGATACATTGACAGATGTGACACAGAAAATGACATTACAGAAAGTATATAGCTATCACACTCGAAAAAAAAAAATGAAACCTAGTAATCTGGTGATCCTGGAATGCGCCTGCTAGTGATGCTGGAATACTCTCCTTGCTGCCTCTGACATACAGCAATTCAAATGTACAAACAAAGGTCAATATTAAACGTCCTGGAGAGTTTGTGACTGGTGATGCAGAGCACAAACTCCAGGCTGTAAGCTTCTACTGCCGTCCATTGTAACTGATGGATGTTGTTTTCATTTACAAATAACTCTTTAACATAAACTGAACTCTCTAAGATAAACAAAACGTTCTTATTTTAACATAGTTTCAGCGTACATGGCAGTTAGTTGTGTCCTCTAGGCTTCCATTACCTCTTAATATATTGGGGTCGGTGCTGACTTAAAATGGCATTTCAATGTAGAATTTAAATGGCTTCTTTCAAAACTCTGTGGCACTTGTATGAGCTGCAAGTCCCATCTCCTTTCAGTAAGAATGACAATAGCTACATTTAGCCCACATGGGATATTTCTCCACCTGGAGGGAGTATGACATAACAGAAATCGCAGATTTGGCACAATTATGAACTGTTGATAAAGATGTCTAATAGACATGTGCACTGCCAAAAAATTCGTTTAGTTTAGTTTCGTTTTAAATTCGGATTTGTGTTATTTCGTTTTTCGGGATTCGGGTGTGAAAGTCAATTCGGAATTTGGATTAGGACGAAATTCGGTAGCGGTAGGTCGAACGTTCGTTTAGTTTTCTGTTTCTTATTCGTTTCTTATTCGTTTCGTTCGTTCGTGACATTCGAGGGGGAAAAAATATTTTTCTCCTTCTCTAATGTCACTTTGCTCCAACGAACGAAACGAATAAGAAACGAATAAGAACAGAAAACGAAACGAATAAGAACAGAAAACGAAACAAACGTTCGAACTACCGCTACCGAATTTCGGAAATGGAAATTCGGATTCGTTTGCATTCGTTATGTCTGTAATTCGGAAGTCGGATACATCCAAATGTCCGAATTTCCGAAAATTCGTCCGAATTTCGATTCGGAACGAAACGAATCGCACATGTCTAATGTCTAATGAGCTGAATAATATAGCTCCAATAAGGTAGCCCATAACAATGCTAAACAGCCCTTAAAAAGACCCTGTCGCCAGACCATTTATTTTAACAAAAATATCCCTATAAGATTATATGTGCAGGTAAGGTATTTTAGGCATTTGACTGTAAAAGCCTCCCTGATGTAGACCTCTGAAAGCCCAGAGGCTCCAGCTGTCTCCACAATCTTGGACGTATAATAAGCAGCCCCAGCACTGTTACTTAAGACGCTGCAGTCTTAATTCCTCCCTGGCAGTTACATAAATGGTTATGTAGGAAGGTGAGGGCGAAGGAGCTGGGCCAGCACAGAGAGTAATTAGACACTCCCAGAAGAGGGCTATGATATGCAATGAGTGAGGAAGCTGTGCTTGGGAGAAGTATGCTATTGTTGGTCTCTTCTACAATTGCTAGTTACCCAGCTGTCATGTTGATCCTCCTATGTTAATACTTTGGCTCAAAAGCCTAGATAAATATGCTGATAAGGACTACTCACTTTCTGGATCTGCATATTTGCTTCTGCTCAGTGACTCGGAAGAATTGAAGGCAGCAGGGGTGCATAACAGTATTTAAAAAAAAAATAGCAATGGCAATTTTTTTTATTTAAAAAAAAAAAAAAATTTTTTTTTCTGCTTTGGTCTAGGGGGCCAGAATACAGAAGATTTTTTAAATTATTGTTATTTCTATAGCGTTGACAATTTACACAGCACTTTACATCGTACACATTCACATCAGTCCCTGCCCTCAAGGAGCTTACAATCAAAGGTCCCTATCTCACATGCATACGTATGAGGGCCAATTTAGACAGGAGCCAATTAACCTTCTAGCATGTATTTGGAGTGTGGGAGATAACCAGGGTACAGGGATAACATGCAAACTCCTTGCAGATAGGGACCTGGCTGGGATTCAAACCAGGAACCCTCGGTGCTGAAAGGCAGAAGCACTAACCACTAGTCCATTGATCCTCGGTGCAGCTGCACTTTTCTGAGGGAGCCGCTCAATAGATCCGGATCGCTCATGAGCTACCCATCTCTAGCACTCAGCTCTCACCTCCTCTCTGGCTGTGGCATGTCCCTCGGCATCTTCACATCTAATGCGGGTGAATGGACTGTATTAGCCAAGATTACATCAGCAGGGCTAGGACCGCTGGAGCCCGGGGCAGAAGAGGCTGCTGGGACCGGTCTAGCAGACTGGCGGTATCGAGGATCATGCGAGTATATCTTCCTTAATCCAGCCCCTAGACCAAAACAAGCAGTTAATCCTTGCAGTGCAGGGGTAGCCCCACTGCTAGGGTTCATTTTGTTAATTCCTGGAGTTACTCTGACAAAAATATTAAAACTATGAAAATCTGCCTGCTTTATGTAAATGTTGTCAACTGAAGTATATTTCTCATTCAGTAAAGGGAAGTGATATCGGCTATCTATTTTAATATTACTTAGTGACACAGATCTCGTATTCTGCACACCTGATAACACACTATGACAAATAAATGACAATTACAGTAGCTCACTAGTTCCTACAGTTACTGATATACATACACAGTAGGGATGTTCAGATACCAAGTCCCGTACTTGGTACATGTACAAATACTTTTCCAGCTCCAAGACTAGACTAGAGAAAAACTCAAAAGTTAGGAGGCAGCTGTCATTTGTAAGGAGCACACGGAGCTCTTGGGATTTGTACATCCCCATTTTAATGCATTATTTTTTTTAATAAATATATATTAGGGATGCACCAATACCATTTTTCCAAGTACTGATACTCGTCCAAGTACTCACAGATACAAGTACTGATAAATTTTTGTTTATTGTCATGTGACAGTTTTTCTAAAACAATACAGACTAATGATTTCAGGACAGTGGTGTAGCGCCAGAGCCAGGTCCCAGCTACAACCCTGGTAGTTCTCATGAAAATGCCAAGTACCGGCACTGGTATTTGAACTGGTATCTGGACATCTCTAATACATTGCTTTTTAAAGCTTCATCTGTATAGAAGAAAACGTAGTAAAAGAGTAGATCTGCATTATCTGACTGAGCACATACTCCCATACCAAAAATCGTTTCAAGAGAAAATTAGAAGAATCAGAGTTGAGTTCTGTAAATCATGAATACAAAATTAGTGTTTAGCACTGCAATACAAAAGTATATGTGTGATTTTATTTTTCGCACAGCTTAGTTAACAACTGAGCATTAATGATATCAGCATATAAAGCAGATTGAGGTAATCTGTCCACATGATCAGAAACAGTTCTGTAACTAATTATTTTTCGTTAGACTTCTCTCTTGGAATTCTGCCTAAGGTATAAAACTCCTCATTGGGTCGCAAGTCAGTTAAGTGAGCAATACGATTCGCCAGAGCAAAAAAGCCCGTAACCATTGCAATATCCCAGGCGTCCTCGCGGTCGAATCCATGTTCCTCTAGCTTCTGGAACTGTGATTCAGTTATGTTTTCCGGTTTTGCGATGGCCAAGGCAAACTCTAGCATGGCACGCTGCCTCTTACTTAGGTCAGCTAGGTCAGGATTAAGAACCACCTAAAAAGAGAAGAGATTCTGAAGATGGAGAATGGACTGAAGGACTTCTGCATTTGTGGAATGCATCACTTGTGAAGGATTGGTATGAATAATATTACATACACTGATTTGGGTACTTCCTCATAATGTTAACCTCACCCTGATGATGAACCTTCACCTTAACCAAACCTAAAACTTGACCTCACCCCAAAAATGAACACTTAACCCTAAACTATACTCACCTGCACTCCAGAGATGTAATGTCCATGATCCCCCTCATCAGTGCCCACATGTTCTACTCGGCTTCTCCTGAGTTTGGCATCTTCGGCCATCTTGACTGGCCTACGCAGGATGATGCAACTCCTGCACATGCATTCAGCAGTTCATACTTCCCTGCAGATGTATGCACAGATCAATGTACACACTAAAAGGATTGCAAACAGAAAGAAAGGAAGGAAGTCTTTGCCAAGGCAGCTTAGTATGTCTCTCCTGCAATGAAAAAAACCTTCCTACTCGCAATGTTTTCAAAAATCACTATGATTCTGCTTTAAATATAAACCTTAAACTAACTCCTGAAATGCAACACTCAACCTGACCCGAAAGCTGGACATACACTCATTGAATTTTGGCAGTTATTTGATCTGATGGTAGTCCTGCCAACACAACAAAAGTCTATTTGTCAATTGACTTTTGTCAAAGGAGCCAGGTAGAAAATTCTTTGCTGAACAGTGACTGCAGACAATCAGCTGTTTTGTTACTCTAACAGATAGAAATTCAGATTTCCCATACACGCTGCTTAATGTGGATGGGAGAATCAAATGAGAAAAAATAAAAAAAGTATATGGCCAGCTTAAGGCTTAACCTTTTACACTTAAACCTTAAAGTGACATTAAACCTTCCTTTTTTTGTATACAAGGGAGGCCGAGATTGTATCCCAGTCTGTTCTTATTTTTTTTTCTTTAAATGTTTAAATTCCTCGTTTTCTAGTGGGTCCCTGCATCAGTGTCTTCCCCGCCCACTGCACAGGTGTCTCCAGCAGCTAAGCGGCTTCTATAGAGCCACCCGTGCGTGTGTTTTCCCGCAGTGGCTGTGTGCGACCATAGGCCACCCCCCTCACACAGCTTGATTGACAGCTTTAATACTACTTTAACCTAATAACACTTCACTTAAAGCCTAAACAACACTTTACATGAAAAACTCCCTGAATCTTGACTTTGACGGCTTTTCTATGTATATAGTATTATCACCAGAAGTTTAAAATGCTTGCTAACTCTCCCTGGGAACCCAGTGCACATAGCACTTGTCCCTGTTTAAATATGTGCCTTGGTTGCTGATCTGCATTGTGAGATAGCAGTGGAGGGATGAGGGGTTAACTATCCAACAATGCTGCTCAGCAACCACTAACAAACATTTTCAAAATGCAGTGATACTACTTTAAGCAATAAAACGGTCAGCCCTGAAAGTGTGCTGATATCTTAGCAATTAAAGCTAGCGATTCATCTAAATTAGGCATTTCTGCAAGTATGTTTTTTAGAATTACCTGGTCAGCCAGTGTTCTTTGCTTTGAATATATTCTGTGCAATGCACTGTGAGCAGTTACACAATAAGGACACTTATTACTTGCACTTGTAGCCACAATTATAAGCTCTCGGTCAGCTTTAGTTAGGTTTCCTGCAACAAAAATAATGATTGTAATCTGTATATTCTTGCTTTATAGAAAAACTAGAATATAAGAAAGAATGACATGATTTAGATAAGCTTTCAATCTGAACGTATTTTCTAATAAAGATTTTTTTTTGTTTTGGATAGTGTTGAGGTGGTTAGAACCTCTACCAGGCTTTTATTGCTTGCCCAGAGTGGGGTGATTTATTCTCTCAATTTATCCTGATGACCATTGTCACCAGAAGTGAAAGTGTGAGAAAATCCAATCTTTCGGTTTGTCACTAGAACAGGAAGTGAGGGAAAAATTTTACAATGAGGAAGCTAGTTCCGCTGACAACTGTCTAAGCGGGCATTCACCTCACTAATGACACTTCCCTCTTCATAAACTATTGAAGTGACATAGTCATCGACATAGATACGAGCATAGGTCACAGCAGTCACAATGCCCCTGGAAAATATGGAAACACGAACTCCAGTGGCTGTAAATTTTAACTTCTGTGCTGTTACATTACAAGTTGCATGAGACATCAAAATCATATTAAATGCAAGGACAGTGGGAAAAATCTGGGCACTTGTATGTTGATAAGCAGCTTAACGGCCAGGGCTGTCCCTTTAAAGAGGCAGCCTAAAGCTGGCCATGCACCTATAGATTATCGGCAGATTTTCTATGCTCAGATGGAAAACGTACAACAGATTCCTTTGTCTACCCCAAACTGTGTGGATGGAGGAATCTCCTACTGGACCAAGCTTCAGTATCTTGCTAGTCGGCCCCTCTGGCTCTCAAAACACCTGAACAATCTGATTGGATGCAGGCATTGTTCAGGTATTTTGACAGCCAGCGGAGCCGACTAGCAAGATACTGAAGCTTGGCCCAGTGTGAGATTTCTCCATCCACACAGTTTGGCATAGACGAAGGAATCTGTTGTACTTTTTCCATCTGACTATAGAAAATCTGCAGACAATCTGTAGGTGTATGGCCAGCTGTAGGCTCTTTCCTCAGGTGGCATCTCTTTGGGTCAAGTAGGTTGGTGGCAGAGCGGCCATGGCAGCATAGACATCTCCGCGCCCAGCTCTTAGCAATCTGGGGCGCTCTTGCCAGTGTCCCGACGAGCGAACGAAGGATGCCCTGGTCGGCATCCTGCCACATCTTGGCAACCATAATGACCATAACTCACATAAAATCATTGGAATTAGTGTAGAAAAGGTAGAAGTGTAGTGCAGTAACCTGGTACAATCATGCAGTGACCCCCCCTCTTGAATTTAGAAAACTATAAATTGAGATGTGATGCCAAACATACTGACAAATAGATTGTAGGTTTATATACACTGACAAATACATAATGGGAGTCAAAGGAGGTCTTATATTTTCCTGTTACATTATTACCCTGTATTCATATGGTACCACCATACTATTAAAATACTTGCAGATAACAGTTGTGTATGAGGAGCAAATAAGACTTCACCTAAATGGTTTGCTGCTTAGTTTTTGAGTAAGATGGAAAGTCTAGTTGCACAATGGACAAGTATGAGAACTTATGTGTTTTTCATGCAATATTCCTTTGGTTTCTCACATGGTCCTGTCACTTGCATAGACACTGAATGATCAGATTAATGAGATTGGCAGTATGTTTTTATTACCTTTCCCAAAATGAAGCTGAGTGACTTTACATTTTCTAAAATGAAAACACATAACACCCAAGCTGATTCAAGCATTCTCTGAAAAAGCAGCTGAAGAATAGAACGTGTACCTGAGTGTAGGCAACACAAGCAATTCTTATTGACATTGTAAGGCCTAATAAATTTGTATTTACCGGTTTCCTTGTTCATAATTACATCATAATAGGCAAAAAAGGCTCTGAATTCGCTTGGTCTGTGAGCCAATACTTTGAAAACATTTGGTAAAAATCCACTCTGAAATAAAATATTGAAAATTATTGGTATTAAAAAAGGCACCAAAGTATATGCAGAGGTTATGAAAAAAAAATCAGAAACTTGCCTGACAAGCAGTTATATACATAAGAATGTTACCATTCTGAAGGCCAGTAAATTGCCTATGACAATATTTTATGACCACATTGCTGTGATATTTTATCTCGTATTGTGTATATATATATATATATACACATACACGGATTGCATTTTTGGGCAACACATATTCTTTCCTTTCCTGCAGTCTTTTTTTATACACCAGTTTATTTTATACACCTAGCTAACTTTCTTCAGTCATGTACTACTGTCATAACCTTTTCAAAGGTTGGATTCTCGCTGTGATTGCATGGATTTCAGTTTATGGTATTACGCCATCTCCAGGAGAAGGAGTCCTGAGCTGGACATGCAACTGTAATCTACTCAGTTAATCAATAAAAGGTAGCATTCAACTCTCCATTTTTCTTTTTTGAATTTGCTCTCTCATGGTTCACCTCTTACCTATCGCAGCACACCTTCAGTCTCACCTACAACTCTACCTCCTCCTCTCTTCTTCCTCTTTACGGGGGTCCCCCAAGGGTCTGTCCTTGGGCCCCTTCTATTCTCCATATACACTTCTTCCCTGGACCAGTTGATATTGGAAGCCATGGGAGACTATCATCTTTATGCTGATGACACCCAAATTTAGATCTCCACTCATCAGCTCACCCCCTTTGTGTCTTTCACATATCACTATTCTACTCACTGATATCTCAGCATGGATGTCACACCACTACCTCAAACTCAATCTGTCAAAAACTGAGCTAATCTTTCCTCTTCTCTGTGATCCCTCCCCCAACTTCTCCATCACAATCAACAGCACTACAATCAACCCCTTCCCTTCAAGCGAGGGTGCTTGGTGTAATCCTTGACTCTGAGCTCTCCTTTCAGCCCAACATTAAATCACTATCCAAATCTTGCAGACTCAAGCTACGTAAAGTTTATAAAATTTGTCTTTTAACAAACGAAACCAAAAAGCTTTTAATTCACTCCCTTGTAATCTCTCGCCTCGACTACTGTAACTCCCTCATTGTTGGCCTATCACTAAGCAGCCTAGCCCCCTTCAGTCTATCATGAATGCTGCTGCCAGACTCATCCACCTTACCAACCGCTCAGTGTCTGCCGCCCCCCTCTGCCAACCCCTCCACTGTCTCCCAAGTGCCCAACGTATAAAATTAAAAAAATACTAACAACAACAACATACAAAGGCATCTATAACTCTGCCCCCAACTACATCTCCAACCTCATCTCAGAATATCAGCCAAACAATCCTCTCTGCTCCCCCCAAGACCTTCTACTCTCCAGCTCTTCCATCACCTCCTTGTATGCTCGCCTCCAGGACTTCTCCAGAGTGTCTCACATCCTCTGGAACTCTCTACCTAGGGTTGCCACCTTTTTTTCAAGTGAAACCCGAACACTCCAGCACCGTGTGCAGCAAATTTTGTTAGGGGGAGAATATAAAGGAGAGAGTAATGTCTTCAGGTGGCCTGGTAGTTTGTGCGGGCTGTGCGACACTCGGGTGGGCTGTGCGACACTCGGGTGGGCTGTGTGTCAGTGACACTTGGCTGGGCGACTCTCGAGTGGGCTGTGTGACAGTGACACTCGGGCGGGCTGTGCGAAACTCGGGCAGGCTGTGTGACACTCGGGCGGGTCCAGAGGCAGGTGTCGGGTGTCTCCTGTAAATCTTCGTTCCCCCTGCAACTCAGCTATTTTCTGTAAACCGGCCTCTTCATGCCTTCCCTTCAGCTGCCTGGGGATCTATAGCTCGGCTGCTCTTCTAACTCTGGTGATCTATGACATAGAGAAGAATGTCTCCTCGTTCTTCTCTATGAGATAGATCACCAGAGATAGAAGAGAGGAGGAGCAATCACGTGTGTGGCTGCCGAGATCCTTGTCAAGTGCGATCGCGAGCAGCCACATCTGCCTGAAACCCGGCCCGAATCACACTTGACAAGGACCTCTGCAGCCGCACCTGTCAGAAAATGTAAAGTGCCGGTGTCGGCACTAAGTGTCTTGTTTCCGGGTGCCCGCTGGCTGGGCACCCGTACACAACACACCAAAACCGGACTGTACGGGTCAAAACCGGACAGGTGGCAACCCTATCTCTACCCCAACCTGTCTGCTTATCTCCTACTCTGTCCATGTTTAGGCGATCATTGAAAACTCATCTCTTCAGGGAAGCCTATCCTACCTCAACATAACTGTCCTTTTACTTCTTCCACTAACTCAATCTAAAGAATTATTACCATTTGTATCACTTGCCCCTCCTACTAGATTGTATGCTCTCCTAACCCTATTGTACTGAAACTGTATTGTAACTGTACTGTCTCCCCCTATTTTGTAAAGCGCTGCACAAACTGTTGGCACCATATAAATCCTGTATAATAATTATAGCAAGATGCAACAATATTCAGAGGGGGGTTTCAACTAAAGTGTAGTTCCACGTTTTGCAGTAACATTTGAGGAAAATCCTCTATATGTTATGTGTTCCTATTCACACACATTCCTACATACAGTACCTAAAAAAATTATCTTTTAACCACCTGCTGTCCAGCCGTTGTAGTTAAACGGCTGGACGGCAGCTTCTTGAATGCGGATGGGTGTTTTTAAAATGTCCTTTCCCACCCCGCTCGTGCCGTCGTTAGGCGGTGCTCTCAAGCGGGAAGTCTGCATGAAATGTAAACAGCCAGCGATGGCTGTTTACATACAAGCATTCCGGCATCTGTAGAGACGCCCGATTGCTTGTAATATGCGTGCGAGTGTGCACCTCCCCCCACCATTGCAGTCGGCACTGGCGATCCCGAGCTCCGCTGTGCCCAGTGCGAGCCCGTCACTGGCACAGCGGCTCTGTGACCGGAGATCAAGGAGAGATGAGTACACAGTCTCCCTCTGATCTCCTCCCCATTGTGGAAATGCAGGAAGTGATGCATATTACATCAGTCCTGCATTGATCTGTGACTCTCCAGCATTCATCTGTCACTCTTCGGCTACAGAAGCCGGAGAGAAGCTGGTGAAGCAGATCTCTGCTTCCTCAGCTTCTCTCGGGGGTCCCAAAGTGACATTAGGGGTCTTACAGACCCCTGATGTCTCCATAAAGAGGACCTGTCACAGTAAATTGGCTATCACATAGGGGGCTTGTTATCCCCTATGTGATAGCAATAAGGTTAAGTGAGAAAAGGTTAAAAAAAATTATAGTTACCAAAAAAAAATTAAAATGTCACATATAAAAACAGTAAAAAAAACAAAAACCCAAAGTTTTTTTGACCACCTACCATCCACCGAACGTACAGAAACAGCCGGGCGGCAGTCTGCTGGATGCGGGTGGGCGTCTTTAGATGTCCTTCGTGCTCTCGTGCACACGAGTGGGAAACCGCTAGAATTGTAAACAGCCAGCGATGCCCGTTTACATACAAGCGGTCCGGCGTCTGTAGAGACGCCCGATCGCTTGTACGATGCATGTCTCGCCTCCCCCCTCCTTACCTCTCTCTCCTTGTGGTCGCCGTCTCCACGATTCCGGGCCTCGATCCTGGATGGGCGATGTGGCTCTGTGCACTGAGAATGGAGGAAGGTCAGTACACAATCTCCCTCCGCTCTGCTCCCTGGTCTCTGAATGCAGGAAGTGATGTTTATTACATCACTTCCGCATTCCTCTGTCACTCTAGGGTACAGAAACACAGAAACCGGAGAGAAGCTGATGAAGCAGATCTGTGCTTCATCAGCTTCTCTGGGGGTCCCTAGGTGACATCAGGGGTCTTAGAAACCCCTGATGTCTCCATAAAGGGGACCTGTCACTGTAATTTGATATCACATAGGGGGATTCTTATTCCCCTATGTGATAACTTTATCGTTAAGTGTAAAAACAAACAAAAAAAAAGTAAAAAAAAAAAAACAACAACATTGGTCACAAAATAAATACAATTTACACACACACAAAAAAACCCCACAAAAATGTTTTAAAGTCCCCCACCCCCACATAGATACGCAAAAAATGCGTTAGGTACCCCTACACGCAAATACAATGATTTCTCCAATTACGCAAAACTTGTTACATATCACCGCGAACGTCATAGTGAGGGCAATAATTCTAGGGCCATCAATCACTGATAACACTAAACTCATAAGCGTTAACAGCTTTTAAAGCGTTGCCTATGGTTAAAAAAAGTGGTTAAAAAAAAAAAAATCATATATTTTAGAGGCCTTTGTGCAGATTCCAGGCTACTCTGAGGAGTTTGAAAGTGAAAGTAGAGGGCCAGACTGAGCTTCCTTTCATTAACCTACAATACCTAGAAGCCTTTAACTCTGTGTTGGGACAGACAGTGTTTAAATTTAGTTTACAACTGATAATGATCTCTGCCAGCACAGTACAGACAGGGTTCATTAGCATAAACATAACTTTACACAGCCCCCTCTACAATATTACACAGGGCCGGTGCAAGGATTTTTGCCAACTCATGCGATGGTGCATTTTGCCGCCCCCCCCCCTGCCATGAAAAACATTGACAACGTTTTCCATTGTCGATTTTAATCGACTAATTGTTGCAGCTCTATATTATTGCTGGGATTTGTAGTCCTCTATAGCTGGTTGTATTCTCCATTGCGCTGTATAATGATTATACTGCGCAATGCAGATTACCACTGACCAGTTATAGAGGAACTACAAATCCCAGCAATAATACATTATACAGCGCAATGGAGAATACCAGCAGCTATAGAGGAACAACAAATCCCAGCAATAATATATTAACCAGCCTGTATAATGTATTATTGCTGGGATTTGTTGTTCCTCTATAGCTGCTGGTATTCAGCATTGTGCCGGTGTATTATACAATGCACAATACAATACACAATATATTATACAATGCACAATACAATACTGTATTGTATTGTGCATTGTGTATTGTATTGTGTATTGTCAATACAAAATACAATATTCAATGCACAATACAATACAAAATAATACAATACAATGCAGCATACCACGTGCACTTTGTCTTTGTTGCATTACATACCGCTCCCACTTCAGCCAGCTACCGATCCAGATACAAGTCCTCCGATGTGTCTGGTCTGGGGTGGGTCACCATGAGAGGGTGAACCGAAAACGCCTCCTCGCTCGGTTCCAACTTCCAAATGTGTGCACCGAGCGGCTCCCAAGTCCCTCAACAGGTCGCCGTCGCCTCCAGGATGACGCCGCACTGCCTGCTGGTCCGGTCCGTCCGTTGCTCCGCCTCCTGGCTGCAGCCCTCGCTCCTTCACATGCGGCTGAGCGGCCAGGGGAATCAGGGGCGGGGCCACTTACGTCACTCACTGACGTAGGAGGACGTAGCCAAGTCACTGAGGTGACTGCACAGGTCAGTGCCGCTGCGGCCCGGCGGGGACTCGTACTTCAGATGCCGCCCGCCCACAGCGGCAGCCCACACGCTGGTCTCGATCGGGCGACTGTCACTATCAATTTTCCGCCCTGTTCCTGGCGCCGTAAGGCAAGTGCCCATGTTGCCTTGCGCTAGCGCCGGCCCTGTATTACATAGGGAGGAAACCAGGTAGCAATTAAAATATAAGCAGCATTTTTTTTCCAAGTTATGCTATGTGAATGGGAACATATAACAAACATAAAAGAGGTGTTATCCCAATTTAGCTGCAAATGTGGAAATACACTTTAAAAGGATAACTATGAGGTGAGTGCTTTTCACTCATCCTCATAGTTCTAGCCGACCTGCGACAATGAAACTGTCACAGGTCAGCTCAGTAGATCGGGAGGTGAGCGCACACATACCAGCGTTCGCTCACTCCTCGTTCCTGTCACGGCTCTAGGAGGGACTGGATTCCCCCCTTCCCGCTCCGATCCTCCAGCGCTGACTGGCGGAACGGACGGGGGAGGAGGTGGGTACAGCTGGCTCTGCCTCTAGATAAGCAGAGCCAGCTGTCACGCAGCTGGGCGGATCCAGACATAATTGTCGGGATCCGTTTCAGTTGCGGCTGTAGCTCGCGGTATACTGAGCTTAGGGTGACGGGAGGATGCTAGTTTGTGTCCTCCCGTTACCCTGAGAACTATGGGGAAAAGCCCTAACCCCATAGTTTTCCTTTAAGGTGGACTTTAGACATGTAATCTGCTCACCCACCACCCATAAGCAACAATGCCACACGCTAACCTCTTGTTTATGTCAAATCTGTAATAATGGCTACTTAGAGATTAGCAAATGCCTAATGATGACTGCGATGAAAGAACCACTCAACAACAGATTGATGGTGCATTCCTAACTTAGCGGTCAATGACTGGATGTGAATTTCGTTGCAGACACATTCTGACATTTTGGGAATACCTCTAGGAGCAATAAAAGCCACTTGTGAAACTTCTTACTCAAATACTTACTTAATAAACAGGAAAAGATATGCTTCCAGATATATGTATGGGTACACGTAATGCATCTCTCATAGAAGAAATCTCACAGTCATTAAATTTAAATGTACCAACAACAATCTCGGTTTTCATTTGTGACTTCAGCTCTTGATCCATCCAAAATACCATGGCTGTGGAACGGATGAGTACTTAAATGGATACTCCACACAGATCTTCTCTGAGATTGATGTAGGAAACATGTACTTTAAAGTGACACTAAACTCAGGAGTTAAATCTTAAAAATGCATTCAAGTACCTGTGTGTACGTGTGTGGCTACATTACAACACACACAGGGACCATGGGGAAACAAAAATAGTCGCCCTCCAGAAGGAAGAACAGTGTCAGCTCCAAGTCAGAGATGATTTGAGGATCTACAGCTGAGTGATACACAAATAAGATACATTTTTGTTAATAGTTAGGATACGTGAATGCATTTTTAAGATTTAACTCCTGAATTTAGTGTCACTTTAATATCTAGCTGCTTGGGGCAATACCGTGCATGCCTCCCACGAAAAAATGGCATTTACAGACATGTTCCTGCTTTTGTAGAAGTTAATTCACATTAGTTTACTAGGCAGCATTGCATTCCAAGTTGTACTTAGTACACCAAGAGGACAATTATGTTGCTTTTTTTGCCAGGCACAGCATTACTGTAACTGTACAAGGTACCAAGCTGCAGTCTTGTACATTCCAGTTTAGTAATATTTGTGGTGATTAAAGTTTAACATTAACACAGGGTAATACTTTACCTGTAAAGCAGCACTGTTGTGTAGTGTTTATGAA